GTTAACGTTCTTCTAGTAAATACGAGGTGTAGAAAGTTACTTTCTTCCTGTAAATACAGGTGTGAAAGTTACTTTCTTCCTGTAAATACAGGTGTGAAAGTTACTTTCTTCCTGTAAATACAGGTGTGAATGTTACTTTCTTCCTGTAAATACAGGTGTGAATGTTACTTTGAGAACAGTTAGATACATATTAACTCAAAGTGGTCTCAATGGTCGTGTAGTTGCTAAAAAATAACAAAATAAACTGTTGATGAGAAGTAACTAAACCAAAAAGTTTTGTTTGAAGTTAAGCACAAAGCTACACAATGGGCTATCTGTGCTCTGTCCAACATGGGTATCGAAACCCGGTTTCTAGCGTTGTAAGTCCGCATCGATCGCAAACAAAGCTGGATACATATGATATTTATGGGTCATTTATAATTCACCATAAATAAATTTGGGCATGTTAATAAGATTATTGTAGCATTACATATTACAAATTTCATTTCATCAAGGGTAAAATTGAAAATATAATATATGACGTAGATAGCCGAATAACATACAATCATTACATAAGAATCCAAGTTCGAACTGTTGGGCAACAATAGTTTGTTCGACGGCGGGGACTGAATGGTGTCACAATAAATGTACAACAATGACGTATGCTGCAGTTACAATACAGACTTTGGGGCTGGATCTTAACCAATAATGTCGATGATCTACACAAAATTATCAGCACCCTGGTGTTGAAAGTTCAGGCAGATCCTGACTTATTATGCTAATTTCCTCAAGAACACGACTCAGCGGGCCAGCGGAACACTTACAACCACGGATAGCTTTTACCTGCACGAAGTCTCTATATGAACATTCTCGAGGCTGTATTAGTTTATGTAAAGACTAAGAACGTCAAAGGACGACCGAACAACTTGGCTGAATTGTGGGGTTTAATACGGGACATTGAGAACAGTATTACACAATTGTACATTTAAGAACTTACACTAATATATTCGTAAGAAAGCAAGGTGTAAAGTATAAAGGCCACATACAAAATCCAAATTTACCGTACAACGCTTTTGCTTTTCTTTTGTGAATGTTTCTGTGATCATGCTTTGCACCATCCAATTGCCATTACACGTTGATTATGACTCAGCATTTGTATCGATTGTGTGTTCCATCCAGTTGCCATTACACGTTGATTATGACTCAGTATTTGTATCGATTGTGTGTTCCATCCACTTGCCATTACACGTTGATTATGACTCAGTATTTGTATCGATTGTGTGTTCCATCCAATTGCCAACACACAATCGATACAAATACTGAGTCATAATCAACGTGTAATCCATAATTATTTCCATTTTATAAATATATATCTTCAGTTTTATGAGTTACCTTGTTGGCATCGAACACGTTAAACATATAGTCAACAAATCGGGACGCATTTCCAGTCGGATAGAACTGCCCATAGATACTCCTGAAAACCTGGAAAATCGTAACGTTATTCTCCAAACTAACTCCCAAACTGTTCGTTCTAATTATCATCTTAATAGACAGCTCAAAATGATAATTATGTCTTTCTTCTCGCTTGTAAATATAATACTATAAGTGTCGTTTCATATTGATTTTATGCAATAAGTTTCGTTTTGTTTTAAAACTATTACTTTGATCCAACTTTAATTTCCTTTTTCCACATTTCAATTAACCCGTGAATAATAATCTCATACAATTTTCCACATTTCAATTAACCCATGAATAATAATCTCATACAATTTTCCACATTTCAATTAACCCGTGAATAATCATCTCATACAATTTTCCACATTTCAATTAACCCGTGAATAATAATCTCATACAATTACAAAAACAGGAAATAATATACTCTGACTGGCATGGCCTAATGGTTAGTGGACGCTTGACTCGCAGTCTGAGGGTCGTGGGTTCGAATCCCCATGACCGCTCTTTCAGCCGTGGGGGCATTATAATGTGACGGTCAATCCCACTATTAACTGGTAAGAGTAGCCCAAGAGTTGCCGGTGGGTGGTGTTGACTAACAGTCTTCCCTCTGGTCTATCACTGCTATATTAGGTACGGCTAGCGTACATAGCCCTCGAGTAGCTTTCCGCGAAATTCAAAAGCAAAGTCCAGTGCGATGGTCCTGAAGAAAGAACTAGAATCAGTGTTTTAACTCGTGTCTCTACATTAACGTTTCAAGCCCTGATTTCATGAATGTATCTATGACATTTGACAGTCAAATATACACAGTACAGGAAGGCTGAAGGGGTCTGAATTGAACCTGCCCCTCCCAGGTCGCACAACGACTAAATATTGTTAGAGACGGTTGGTTGCGGAGAACGGTACGAGCTATCATGTAAGTCCAACCATTGATGGTAACAATAAGTAAAAACATTAGAAACAAATATCTAAAACATCTCGCAAGATGCATGCACCCTGGGGAGCAGGAACAGGGGGAGCAATTGCTCCCCCTAGATTTGGGTAAACATTTGTTGCTGTTTTGTTTTTTTAGCGCAAACCTACACAGTGGCTATATATATATATATACTCTGTCGACTGCGGAAAATCAAACCCCGGATTTTAGCTTGTAGGTCTGTAAACTTACCGTTGACCCACCGAGAGATATATTCATACTGAGCAAGCGCGGGGTGGGGGTGGTAGTGGCTACCCTCAAATAGTGGAATTCCTATGGGGACCAAAACAACAATGAGATTTCTATTTACAGATTTTATAGTTACATTCGTCGACATTTTCCAAAAACATACATATTTTAGGCTCGTTTAAAGTCGCTCCCCTGACAAAAAGATCCTACGCAACTTCATGCACTAATTTATTTGCGCGCAGCGCTATATATATATATACATATGAATATGTAAACAGTCATTTGTTAACTCAAGCTTTCATGACCATTCAACTGCATGAGAAAAGGAAAGCTTTCAGTGTCTGAGGTTTTCTGTTTTACATGTTTAACCTCATCGATACATTTTTAAAGAGTTTGATTGCGTGTTTTATTCATACCTAGTATTAAAAGCATGAAAAATAGTTCGTAATGGAAATATATCAGCCACATATTCTGCCAAAATTATGATCTCCAATGCACAAAGGGGAAGCAAGCAGCCATCTTCCTCCAATAACTGTAAGCCTACGGATCCTTTGTCAACATAATGGAAAGTTGGCGAAATAGTGTTAACGCTTTGAATGAGGTAATTTATATGAACTGTGTAGCTGAAGTGGAAATGGGTCATGTACTAAACTGGCGATTCAAAGCACAGTATGAACTGATAAGCTAACACTGCTTTAATGCACTTTTAAACACCGGTAGCTAAATGATATATAATAATGACAAACAATGAATTTTGTGTTCGTAACTTTCAGCTCAAACCTACGCACCATCTTCACCCAGTCGTCCCTAATTTTGAACTGCTAGGCTAGAGGGAAGGCAACTAGCTAGTCAACAGTACTCGCTGCAAACTCTTGGGCTACTAAAGCCTGATCGAATAGTGAGATTTGACTGTCACACTTATAGCGCACTTACAGCGCCAATTTTGGAGCGTGTTCTTTGCAGCAACATGTCGTAAACAATGAACCCTCACGTTTACAGACCGGGAACGCTAACCACTAGGCTAATATATGACAAACTCCTAATACACTTACACAGATTATCTGTTGAGAAGAAAATATACTAATAAATGATTATAAACGCTAAAGATGACTTTGGCATCTGAACACTTATACCACGCTTTGTATCACACTAAATATATCTTTCTGATATGTGCTCTGTCTATGAGTAAATATGTTTCGTGAGTCTTTTATTTTGTTTTGTAAATAATTCTTGATGGTTCCTTTCTCAAGCGCCACTCAAAGAGAATCTTACCTCTTTTGACATATGACCATCAGGACAGTCTTGGACAAAATCCCGATGCCTGTAAAAAGAAAAGGTGTTTTAGAATGTTATAAGAACATAAAGTAAAGAAAAGCTTCACAAGTAAATCGTATCATTGTTTGAAAATGAGCTTTAATTAGCCTCCCTTCACAACTGTTGGTAATTAAAAATACAAGTTTTGGTCAACGAAAGCATAAAGTGATCAGTTTGGGTTATTTACTAATCCAAAACATGATTAGGTCAACACTCATATCTAGTCATCTAGTGTAAGAGGAATTCATGTAAGAATAAGATGAATTATAATAAAACCAGAGATTTGCCATCTGAGAACAGGATGTTGCTCCAATTATAATGAAACCAGAGATTTGCCTTCTGAGAACAGGATGTTGCTCCAATTATAATGAAACCAGAGATTTGCCATCTGAGAACAGGATATTGCTCCAATTATAATAAAACCAGAGATTTGCCATCTGCGGATAGAATATTGCTCCAATTATAATGAAACCAGAGATTTGCCATCTGAGGATAGAATATTGCTCCGGTTTCATTATAATTGGAACAACATTCTATCCTCAGATGGCAAATCTCTGGTTTTATTATAATTAGAGATTTGCCATCTGAGAACAGGATATTACTCCAATTATAATTTGCCATCTGAGGATAGAATATTGCTCCAATTATAATGAAACCAGAGACTTGCCATCTGATGATGATGGAATGTTGCCCTTGTTATAACAAGAACAAGGACTCGCCATCTAAGAAAATGATGTGTCTTCAGTTATAACAGCCATTCATAATGGGGACAAGGAATTAACTTGAGGACAGGAAGTTGCCTTAGCCATAAAGGTTAGATAAGCGAGTCTATGAACATTGTTACTTCACTCAACAGAACCATAAAAAACAAAAGAGGAATCCATCTGAGAGAATAATACGAGTCTAGACTCCAAAATTAACACGATATTTCTTTGAAATATTACAAATTAACTTGAGGACAGGATGTTACGATCTCTGGGCCAAGAACAACAGTATTAAAAATACTTGAAAAAAACGACAACAACAAAACGATTCTTCAAATACCGAAAGATCTGTTCAGCCTCAAAAATTAAATTATCCGATTGCTATAGTATGGTGAGTTACTAATATGTGAAATTCATAAGTGTACCAATGGTTTAGTTAACGCCCATTGTGCGTACAGTTTACGTATCTATAGAAGCTTTTGTTATTCGTCATGCAAGTTTCACTAAATGAACGTCAGTCATTCCTAATTTATTTAACAAAATCACTATTTTTAAAAGTAATTTATTAACTATATTTCGAAAATTTGATATATATTTTTTTACTTTCATTTCATAAGATGAAATATACTTAATTTCATTGAAAATATTTACAAATAACTTACAATGCTAGACACCGGTTTTCGATACCCGTGGTGGGCAGAGCACAGGGAGTCCATTGTTTAGCTTTGTGCTTAACTTCAAAGACACACACAAAAGTAAAAAGTAATTTATTATTTTATGAATTTATGCTTGTTTTTACATAAGATTATGCTTTGGATCAACTGTCTTGTCTTTACTCAAGACTGTTTGTATTTTCGACTACTTATGTCTACTACAGTCTTGGCCAAAATGTTTGTGTACTGTTTTATATTGATGTTATTGTCTACATGGAGTAGTTATTGAGTGAATGCCCGAGTAGTAACAGAGAAGGTGGTTAATGATCGGACAAGCGTGTACGAGTTGTTATTCTGGTCTGTATAAGTTGTTTGGAGCATTTGTGCATCAAAACACACATACACCTGTTTTGTATAAAAGTGTGTGTTTTTGGTGTAATCTTTATCGAAACAGATGTATGCTGTGTTCAGACAGTTTCTCTATACTTGGTGTGGATTCATGCCTCGTTACGTCCAGAAATGGTATGAAGCAAATGACATTTCCCGAACAGTAGGGTATTCCCACTGTACTTTATCCAGAATCCTGACACGTCATCGGATTACAGGAACATTGTTCCAGGAAAGTCTAATGGTTGATGTCGAAAAACTACTGCCCGAAATGACCATGTTTTGACCAGGTTAATACGTCAAGGTCAACAACTTACGACAGGAATGACATCAACGCATTCATTACAGCATAGTCAGAAGAACAGTGAATAGGCGAATGACCAAACACGGTTAATATCAAGAAGGGCTATCTGCAAGCCGATATTAACCAGAATTTATTGCTGTTACGTGGGCAAGACAGTGTGCCAACTTACAGTCAGGACACTAACGACATGTCATCTTTTCAGATGAGTCCTGTTTGTTAAAGCTGATGGTAGGATTCGTGTTCGTCGTTTGCCTGGCGAACAGATGAGGGAAGACTGTATTTCCCACAGGGAACACATAGAAGATGGTGCAGTACATGTTTGGGCAGCTATTCATCATGATGGAAAACTGTTCTTCATATCATCCAGGGAAACGTCAATGTGCCTTTTACAGGCATCACATGGAGATGAAAGTTCTGCCATATGCTAGGGCAAAGTTTGGCAATAACTTTGTGTTCCAGGATGACAATGCCACTGCCCACAGTGCACGTATTGTACAATATTATCTCGACCAGGAAGACGTTACATGATTGCCATGGCCAGCAAAGTCTCAAGATTGTAATCCCATTGAAAACTGAGCCGGAAAATTGTTAACCACGACTCTAAACCAGCTACTGTAGTTGAGTTGCAACGCCTTCTAGTGACAAATTAGAATGAAATCACGGTGTATTACATCAATAACCTCGTCGACAGCATGCCACGTCACCTTATGAAGTTTATTAGAGTACGAGGAGGACCAATCAAGTAATGAATGTTCATATAAACTGATATAAGGTTACAGACGCTATTTATAATAATTTGATGTTATATTTTATCATTATATAAGTTTTGGTAAGGTTTTGTTGTGGTAGGTGAAATGATGAATTACCCATCTTTCTACAGATGTCTGATAAAATTGATTGTTGTTCTAATAAATCGTTCATGATGTCAATAGATCCTCTCTCATTATATAAATTACATATGTAAATGTTTAATACAACATGCACTTCTCAGTTTGGCAGCGCTAAGTGTATTTGTATTCCATCTTAATAATAATGGTCTTATTTGTTATAAAATATGGAAACATTTTGTCCAAGACTGTATGTGGGTAGTCAACCCTAAAATCGGGAGTCTTTCGTATACAAAGTAATGGTTTTTTTAAAGTTATGTTTACTCTAGTCTTAGTTGCAAGTGCAAAGATGAAAGATATGATGTTTGCATGAAATACAACGTTGAGTGTACAGTCCAATAAAGTTAAATCTCATGAAAAGAGGACAGGAAAACTGTGAAGCAGAAGGATTTGTAAGAATAAGATACCTTGTTATTCTCGTTGTAACCATTTAAATCTTAAATCCTTCAGTGATTGATAGAGTTAGATACGATTGATCAGACCTCAACCAATGAAAGTCACCTGAGTAAAGAATATTATTTCAATCATAATGGGAACAACAAAGTCCCTTAATACCAGGGTTTTTAAGCCATAAAGGGTTAATAATTTTTCATAACAAACAGTTAAAGAACATTTCCTGCTGTTTCTACGAAATGCGCAGTATTCCAGATGTCACGAAAATGTTTAAAAAAATCGTTATTACAGTGCAAATCAAGATCAAAATGACCCTCAGTAAAAGTGGCCTTGCTTTGGGATAATTATCATCAACATCAAAACAGAACATTGGGGAGTTTGTTGTGTTTTTTGATTAAAAAGTTCTGCTCTGAACTTATATTAAGTTTTATATGAGTATTTGGTCTAGAGAATTTTCTCTTGTTCAAAGGCTCCCCAGTTTCTGTACGATCTTCTCTAGATTTCAGGGTCAACTTTTTAAATTTATGATTATTTATTTTAATGTTTGGAAGTTTATATCTCTTTAGTCCTTGACGAAACTAACATAAAATAAATAAATAAACTGAGGAATATTTTTGAAAAGCTATAACAGTCTTAATCGGGACTGTTATCATACTACGGATGCGTCATAAGAGTAAAGGTCCAATCTTACTATTAGTCCAGACAAAGAGCTGGCGGTGGATGCCGCTGACTATCTGCCTTCTCTCTAGTCTGTCATTTCAATATTAGAGACAACCACACGCATACAATCCTCGTCTAAGTTTGCACTAAATTATGAAATTATCAAAACAAAAACCTATAATTATGAGTATCAGACCTTATGAAGGTTATCCAAATCGCCAGTCTTTAACAAATGAAATGTTGTATGAAGTTCTAATAACTTACCATTTCCGAAGCTGCTTTGCTTCAACTGAAAGAGAAAATACAGCAAGGTAACGACAGAAAATAATATTCTTCATACAAACGCTACGAAGTACTGTTAAATAAAGTGTTTTGTAAAGAAACACTATCCGCGTAATTCAAACTGCAAAACAAAAGAAAAAAAAAGCATAGTCATTACTTTTCAAAGCTGTTAGTAAGTTATTTGTTGGAAGAAAAGTTATGAACAAAATATTCAAGTGTGGCTCTAAAAACAATTTGTCTTTCCATTTTTTCATAAAAAGACCATTAGTATCCATTGGCATGAAAGGAGTAAATGGCTTAACAGAGTACGTTATTGTAGTTAACTATCAGAATTTAACAAATTACCAATCTTATTTTCCGTACTTATAGTTTTCGGATATCAATTTTAAAATATCTAGTGAATTAAGTTAGAAAAAAAGCTAAAATTAAGTAATTTAAAACGAATTGAAAGAAAACAATAAATACAATGTAAGTTAAAATATTGTGATTTATCTAAAATGTTGGAAAATTATACTTACTGAATAAATCCAGCTTTATTAAAATATCTTATTAAAAATTTTATAAAGACGATGTAGGGCTGGGCGTGGCCTAATAGTTAGTTTGGGGCCATGGATATACAGTAAGAGTGACGGTCAAATCCCACACCACAATTAAATTAGAGTAGTCTAAAGACTGGTGGTGAGTACTGTTGACTAGCTGTTTTCTCTTTAGTCTATCAGTTTAGAATTAGGGACAACTATGATGAGATAACCGTTGTGCAGGTTTGCGCGAAAGTTATGAAAAAAACAAAACAGTTAAACAAAAAAAGAAGGTGTATATTATAGTGTTTATCAAGCACAAAAAAATTGATTATTTGTTTACCTTTTGTAACAAGGTTTTTTTCAAGATTTGCTTTTAGGCTTTTTTTACCATTTCTGTAAAATTACGCCATCTAGCGGATGTATCAAGTGGTTCTCGTATTGTTAAATAAGCTATTTCGGTACGGTAAAGTTTTCATGTTATCATAATAACCATCAGCTGCACCACTTACAGTGTGTAGTGGACTTCAGTTCCTGCAATTCTTTCTTACTCAGTTTGCTGACATTTTTTCGTCTGCTCTTGAAAAGAAGAGAGGATGCTGTCCCCATAATGTTTACATTCCTACAGATCGAGTTCTTAGGACTAACGAGTGTTGTACCGGATGTTATCTTCTCACCCTTATTACTCGGGAAAGGAACGTAAAATAATCCATTGGCAACTTCTAATCAATCCAACCTAGTGCTACCTCTCTCAACGCCCTCTTTTACAAATCTATAAACATTCGGTTGCCGTGGTAACGTACGAGTGTAATTTTTTTTCCTGTTTTTTTCACGTGACTTGCAGCTTCTATAAACATTGAAACAAACGTTATAGCAGCTGATACAAAAATGGTTTTACATTACTTTTATACTTTTCTACTTCGATGTATACAGAAACAAAAGTAGAGTTTAAAGAACGTGGATATTTTTTTAACGCAAGTGTCAAGTTAGTGTTGAAAGCGATCTCTAACATAAATAAATGTCTAATTACAATTCTTAGATTTTTAATCAATTTACAATAAGTTGGAAAATCCTGTTGTCACATCACCTTGTTGAATTAAGTAGGTGGAGCTGTGGAACTGTAAACATGGGGGGGGGGGGGGGACAGACAGATATTCCGAAAATTTTCCGCCACAACTACTGGAGTTTGCTTTCTTCTTTTTATTGTTATTCAACTTTTTTATCCTATTTCTATAATATTATTATTATTATGAGAATTTTGACATAATCTATGGAATAATTATAAATATACCTCAAAATGTTATCGTCTTATCTCCCGAATATAACATTATACATATACTCCTGTTCATGTTACATAACAACCTGAATGAACATTAGGCCTACATGTATAATTGCTTTTACGTTCAATTTTCGGAACTGTGACCTTTCGGAATCTCGAGCTACAGACGTAAGCAAGATTGCAGTGTTGATTGGTATAATCATTATTGTTAGTTTCTTGTTACAGACAAAGTTACACAATTAATGGACTATTCGAGTGTTTCTCACTTTGACAGATTTTCAAAAAATACTGAAAGTAATATAAACAATAATATATTCAAAAAAACAAAGTTACGAGTGCATTGAATGATTGGTTGGTTGTTGTTAAGAGCAAAGCTACACAATGGGCTACCTGTGCTGTGCCCACCACGGATCGTATATTTGTTTTGTGAACAAAGTTACACAATGGGCTACCTGTGCTGTGCCCACCACGGATCGTATATTTTTTTTGTGAACAAAGCTACACAATGGGCTACCTGTGCTGTGCCCACCACGGATCGTATATTTGTTTTGTGAACAAAGCTACACAATGGGCTACCTGTGCTGTGCCCACCATAAGTATTGAAACCCAATATTTAGCGTATGAAGCCTCGGGCTTACTGTTGAGTCAGTGGGGGGTATACTGTACGGAAAATAACATCTATAATAAAGATATCTCTTAACTTGACTTGTTACTTAAAACTAGACCGTCAGACTGAGAATTTGTTGTTGTTGTTGCTCTAGGACTATCTGGAATAGCCATCCTTAACGTAGATGTGATAGACTAGAGGAGAGGCAGGAAGCCAATATCATCCACCACCACCAACTCTTGAGGTATTGGTGAGTTGAAAACTTCATTGGCACTACTTAACACGGACGTTATATACCATATGAGTTGAGGACTACATTAGCACTATCTAACGTGGACGTTATATACCATATGAGTTAAGGACTACATTAGCACTATCTAACGTGGACGTTATAGTACCATATGAGTTAAGGACTACATTAGCACTATCTAACGTGGACGTTATATACCATATGAGTTGAGGACTACATTAGCACTATCTAACGTGGACGTTATATACCATATGAGTTGAGGACTACATTAGCACTATTTAACGTG